TCCAGCCACGTGATTTTACTATTATTCTGTGGAATACACCGTATCCACCGATATCCATTAAATAACAAGTATGTATTTAGGAAGAACGGTAGACAATCGTACGCCTTCACTCTTTTTAATACCTAGTTACTCAAAGTCTCTCGATTATATCGACTACTGATATTTCAGTTGTTGAAAATGTTTTGGAGGGTTATGGATTCCTACTTAACCAATGGTATCATATAGCATACACTCTTTCAGAATTTGAAAAACGAATGAAATTCTATATAGACAGTAAATGGATCGGATCTTACAGCATCCCAAATATTCAGAAGCCAGTCTATCATATTTAATTATGGACAGTTATATATTGGAAATAATCACATTTGGGATGGAATTACCGGTCAAGTTAGGTAATATAGAATTTAATCAATTAAATTATCAATCCAGAATTTGAACAATTTTTACTTAATTATTTTTTTCTGAAAAAAATTAGTAATTTTCGTTATTATAATTTTTGTCTATCTCACAAAGAAGTGTTAATGGATTATTTTTTTGCAGGTATTACTTTTACTAATATTTTAATTTAGGGTGAAGATCCAACGAAAAGTACTGATGAACGTCCAAATAAATTTTTTTATAGTCTAAGTATAGGATTCTTTCTTGGTATGATAGCATCAATAGGTGGTTTTTTTATACATAGAGCCATAAAACGGAAAGAATATCGAGAAATCCCTGACTCCGCATAATAAGTACACGAATTTGAGGTTAATTAAATAATGAATTATATAAATGCACAATGACAATGCTTCGAATTTTGTTACTTATTATAAATATAAAAAGGTTTGCTTAATACATCGTGCAATTATTGGCATATGTGCAAATTATTTTTTTCTTTTTAATATCACGAAACCCACACACTGTACTATATATAGCACACGTTAAAAAAATATGAATAAAATTTGAGCAAATACGTTAGCAAGAGTCATCCGACATATACATGTAGTTTTGCTGGTTATCTCACATTGATTTGACAATGTGATCATATCACCACAGCAAATTCAAGCTTCGAAAATTAATCTAGTTTGAGTTCCAATTCTTATATTTAACTTGTTAAAAATTAGAACTACTCTATGGGGTTAACTTGGATATTTATCATTTGTAAAAAGGTGATGAGTGACAATTATTTGTTCTAATTATTGTTTGGAATTACTTATCTTTATCAAGTTCTCTATATATGTCAAAAAACCAATGTAGATATAGATAGTTTATAAGTCAATGGTTTCTAATTGAAAATTCATTTGCTTATTTGATTAAATCAACATCTTTACATTTCGCTCATCTACAAATTTATCAGCAAAATCAATATTGAAAAGACTCTGTAAATAATAATAAATCATGTTATAATTCAGAGTGTAAATATGCAATGTTATACTTTATGCAGCTCTAGCCACGTTTGCATTTTATAATTATTTTTTTGTGATCTTTTCCAATAATAAATAGATTCCTTATTATTATGCCTTTTATGTGATCAATATAATTGTATCGTATAATATAACAGTTTTAGAGTAGGTCAGGAATAATGTTCTGCGCTTTGCGTTCTAACAAAGAAAAAAAATTTTCTTGAAAACTTTAGTACTTATCATTTCTATGACATTAATAACCCGCTTTTATTTAATTATATCTCGCAATCTGATAATATTATCATATTGCCCAATCAATTACTATGTACGCAAATGAGAACTTGTATGTCAAAATTACCATCATGTTAGATGACTCATCTATTGATAATGACATTTTAGATCTAAATTGTTTAGCGTGTGTGCAATATACGGTATGTGAGCTTCCTAATGTTAAAGACAAGAATAAATTGCATGTATGCTGATAATTACATTATAGGTTTTTTTTGCTAATACAAAATTTATAATACTTTTATAACGAATAATATAATAAATGTTACCTTTATACTGATATATTTTTTAGGGTTTTATAATTTATCGCCGTAGCAATGTATCGCCAGTCTATGCGGAGTTTGAAATTTTGCTTACAAAACATGATTTGTAACCACAATTTGAAACTCCGCACATAGGACTTTTGGACTAGCGATACATCGCTACGGCAACAAATTATAAATCCTATTTTTTAATATTTAGTGAAATATTAATCTAAAAAATCTTTAAATAACCCTAAACTTAGTACATCACGTATATTTATTATTGTACATAACTTTAGGGATTGCTTGGTATTTTCTCCGACTTATGATTCCGTGCATAAAAAAAAAATACCCGTTAATACTATTATATCAAGAAAGAATCCTATGTTTAAATCATTTTGAACATTCATCAACATCAATACTTTTGGAATCTAAAAGTATGCGTGAGTACCAACCAAAATAACATTAATACTTCATTGTGAAATTATAATAAGGCTGTTTCTAGTTAAATAATTGTATTCAGTAAACTATAAAGTTTAAAACGTTATATTTATATAAATTAAAATTAACGGTAAAGTATATATGTGCTTAATGACTTTTGTTTTTTATTAAAACTCCAGGATAGCAATTATCCGGGATGTTACATGACGCGTTTTATTATCTCATTGTTATTTTATATAAATACAGAATATAATTAAAAATTGAGATTAATATATTAATTAATAAAAATACTTAAAAACATGTAACAACTAATCATGACTAATTTATCGTGATAGATCGATCAGCGAAACTAATAAATTTCTGTTTGCGATCTAATAACAGTCAAATTTTGATAAAATCAAATCTTACATTGTTCAAATTCTACATCTTAACACTAATGATTCTAATAAAACATCACATTTTTTTTGTTTGTATTTCTTTAAAGATTCTATTCCTCCAACGCTGGTTCTGGAATTAGGCTATTTTCCATGTGAACCACTATTAAATCTCGTAAATTATAATATTATGTAACCATACTATCTAAACGTAATCTAATAATTGCCATTTATCTTCATTAGCAAGCCTAATATAATCTTTGTATTTCTATATTTAGGTCGGTTGATTTTATTGCTATTTTCTCGATGATCCAAATAAGACAAAAGCTCATTATCATCATCAAAAGGCTAATATATACCCCAAGATATGCATTTTGACAAGTATCTCGCATCTATTTTGAGCTTGACTTTCATCACTATTAAACTGCATTTATACCTTCCTCCTCATTCAATTTATTGCTGAGTTCCAGATTTTTTTTTCAGATAATTTCTGACAGATTTGGGGACTTTCGGTGATTTAGCGGGATGAAGGCTGCAACTTATCTTTTGTCTCTCATCGAGGGGTGATAAACTAAAAACTAGGAAAAACCTATGAAAAAAACCATGAAAAACAGTTACCGTACAAGCGCGAAATAACGCCCACCTGCGCGTTAATTACTTTGCAGAAACCTTCGATTTTTGCTAAATATGTTTACAATATTGCTACAACATTGCTACAATATAATTACAATATTGTCAATGTTATAATATAATAAATATATGTTAAACATATGTTAAAAATATTATTATCATATTTTAAAAATATTTTTTTTGTTCTACTATCTTACT